ATTAGTATATAAAATATTTTTTCAAAATTTTAAGATTTAATAAAATTAGATCAGATATAACTGTTTTTAAATTTTAGTGTTCATATTTGGCCGCTAAACCTGACGGTTTAAGGGATAGTTGTAAGTATAGCGTAATTAGACTTTAAATTGTCATATTATATTTGTGTAGTCTAATAATATATATAAGGTAGCTGCGTGATGCTGTTATACTAAAACCAGGAATATAAACTTTGATTGTTTATTATAACAGCATTGGATTATAATAGATTAAATAAATAATTACGATTGGTTATAGTAACAATTTATATATGTAAAATTACATAATAATCTGGATATAGGGTATTTAAAATGAACTTGGAGTCTAGACACTTTGTGGTAATATGGTGTGGCACATGAGAAATAACCAATCAGAATGCATAACTTTTGATTGACCTGGATCAGCCCGATATCAAACCTAAATATATGTACAAGAAGAAGTGAAAATACTCAAAAACTAAAGTTAAAATTGATCTTTAAGCATTAACAAAAAATGTTAGAGCTTATTTTATATATGGTGATGATCTTTTAAGGCCTATAGTTATAAACTCTGACAAAAAACTTAACACAAAGCCAAAAAGGCTTATCTGAATTGTCACATTGCATCACATTACTGCAAAAGCATCTAGATTTCTGTACTATACAGATCTGCTTGCTATACCATATCAATTCACTGTAATTTCACTTGAATTAACAAAATCAACAGTGCTAAGTAGACATAATGCTCTGTGAAAATAGCAACAGGAATAGGAACAATATCACATAATCAAGATTACAGGAGAAGTATGATTCAAATGACCTTCTGCAATAGTAATTATAATCTAATAATGAATACTGTAAAAAAAAGACTAATTCAGTAAAAAACACAGTAATTCTCTACCAGCTATCACCAATTCAGCTTTAACTGACATCAATATGTGGCCAGCCTTCTCTCCCAAAAGAACCCGCCATTTTCATATTATAGCTACTAACAGTTATATTGACAGCATATAGGTAGATTTTTTTGTATTACTTTCAAAATTGATCTAATTTTGGTCAAATTTGCAAATCATTTAGCCCTGACTTATCAGTTTTAAAACTGATAAACCAGGTTTAATAATCTACAAATTTGATCAAAATTAGATCATTTTGAAAATAATACAAAAAAATCTGACTATATGGCCAGTCTGAATTATGCAGGTGAGAAGCTATCTGCTAGCATTAAGCTATATAAACTCAATATCAGACTGAAATATTCTGATATAACACATCAATATTTTTTTTGTAATTGTTTATATGATATGATTATATTAAAATTTTTTGCCTTGATATTTGTTATAAAATGTTATTATCATTTATGCAAAATGTTATAACAAAATTTTTATATGCTAATTTAATATAAACAATATCATCAATATTGAATATATGAAAATAACAGTGAATTTTTTTATCGTATATCCAATATCTTATAATTATGAATTAAGAGATGGTTCTGTTTAACTTTTTGATATTCGCTATACTTATTTTTTGCAAAATCCTTTTTTAGTATAATTAATGTGTTTTATTTTTCCTATTATAGTAAGTGTTAATAGGTTTGTACAGATCACAATTTTCTTATAACGATTTTGGAAATCAATTTTCTCTCACATGATTACATATTAATTTGTCATTTTAGCCTTTTATAGACAGTTTTTTGTGATGACTACTCATTAGTTGCAGATTTTTCTTAGTAAGGATTATGATTGCATATAATTGTTAAATGACAAATGATATAACAATAAGTGTTAGTTAATTAGTATATCTGTATTAATAGAAGAGTGTATTATATTGGTTCAAGAATGAAATTAGTAAGACAGAAGGAAAAGAATGTTTTTGTAAATGTAATATATTCAAGGTTAATTTTTTGGTAAAAGAAGTTTATCTTTTCTTTGACATTGCTCACCTCACAAGAAGGTTCTTTACCTGTCCATTTTGCAATAACTTGGCAATAATCTTAATAATTAGCAGTTGGTTTGTTAGGTGAAGTGTATTGGTAAATAAAATCAGACTCCACAATTGCTTTTTTTTGTAAACAAAAGTAGTTCTTGTAATAATGTTTTAGCTACTGAGATAATTTTGCTATAGTGTAGTTGGCTGGTATTATTGCTTAATGCTAGTCTAGCTCTGAGTCTATTCTAATCCTAAATTTAGAGATCTACTTAATTTTGGTTGCTTCACTAATCTTTTTCTGACAGTAATTCTATGCCATTATTTATAAGAAATAAAAGCTTTAAATTTAATGCACTAACTTTGGCTTCTCCAGGCCAAAGTTAGTGCATTAAATTTAAGATAAGACACCTAATGACAGAAATGCTTAAGAAATTTTCTTTCCAGAATAAAAATCAGGACATGTGAACAATTATGAATCTATTTATATCACATTCTATATAATTACATTATATAATACAACCTATATTATACAGATAGTATAAACCCTAAACATGGCTATTATAGTGATTTAAGCTGGCTAAGGCAGCTATGTCTAAGCTGGTTTAGCTAGCTAAGCCAGCCAATATAATTTGATTGGCTGGCTAATGCAGCTAATGATCACATGATTTATGAATAGTAGAAACTTGAAAAAAGTATAAAATACTTTTGAAAAATTTTCCAAAATGCACCAGAGTTAACTATTAGATAAATAAATAAAGCAACCAAAATTCAGCAGATCAATCAAAATTTAGAGATGAAATAGATAAATTTTTCTTCAAATCACCCAAAATTTTACTAATAAAATGGTAGCCTACATACTAAATAAAGCTGTCTAGATAATAATTTTGCTATAATATAGTTAGCTTGTTTTATTACTTAATGCCGGCCTAGATATGAGTCTATTTTGACTCTAAATTTTGGTCGGTCTGCTGAATTTTGTTTCCATTAGCCAGCCGCTTAGCTGATGTTTTAGTTGGTGGCTAAGCCAGCTGACCAAAATTATGTAGATTAAATCACTAGACCATTATACAATGTTATACAAATATTATTAATGTGATTATATAAAATGTGATGTAAATAGGTTCATGATTCTTCAAACTAACCTAAAAATCAACAAATCTATCTTTAACATATTATGAATAGCAAGGTCACCTGCATGATTATGTCTCTAGTTAAAAACAAATAATTTTAACCTAGTATATACTATGCATATTTTTTAGTCATCATACGAATCAGCCAGGGTCTCCCAAAAGTTCAAGTCAATTACTGTTGCAACACATCAGAATATTTTTTGTTAAAAATATACTAAAATATTAACATTGCCCAAATTTTGCTATAGGCATTTGATACTCTACTGTAAAGTTTGGCAATGCTAATATGTTATATATTTTGAATGAAAGTAATATTGAGGTGTTGCAGTAGTAATCGACCCAAACTTTAGAAGGGTGACTATGGACAATTCTCACATACTGTATATATATATTTCTGGATGAATACAGAAATATGTATCATGTTATTCACTGATCTACTGTATACTGTTAAGTTTTGGAGGTTAATTCTATCCACTTGGCTACTAATGCTAACTGATTTATCATTCAGATACTACCACCACTAGGAATATCACTAAACACACAGTTTATACTTTAAGCATCTTTATTAATTAACTACTAAAGCTAAGTTAAGACTAACTCTAAAGCTAAAATCAACTGTCCTTATTTCTAAGATCTTATCTCATTTAAATAATCAAGATTATGCAACGTATTAGTTACACAAACCTGATCTTATGCAGATCACAGCACCACGAAATCCAGGAGCACGATTTAACCCATATCATGAACTAGACCCCAGAACTTCATCTTTGAAGTTACAACCCATGCAAAACTAAATTAAAACACTGATTATCCTACATAATTACCAAATCTAATTTTACCCTATTAACACAACTACTAAAACACTAAAACTAATATGCATACAAATATCAATAAAATTTATAATCATCTTCAAACATCACATGATCCCAACCTCAAGTAATTCCCAACAACAATATAGTGTCTATTATTATGATCCTTTTCTGTAAATTCCACAATTGTTCAATGACACTATATTTTTTAATGTCCATATCGAAACCTTAATTCCGCATTGATAATAACATCCTACATTATCCATCCAATTTCAGCTACTTTATCTGTGGGTCTCTCATCAGTAGATTCTATGTTCAAGGTCACTTCACTATTTGCTTTAGGTGAGTATCCAAACTTTTCATTATCTGTTTGACATGGTTCATTATTGCTTGTATTAACCACCACATTCGTTTTTTACTTTCGTCAGTCTCCTTTACATGACTATCAATTTTGGATATCACAATTGCACCACTACATACACCGTTTTCATTACTTTTATTCACACTGATTTTGTGGTTCACATCATTGCTATTATACTTTGTTTTCATCCACAATTCCAGCAAACCCTTCATCATCAAATCTATCCTCATGACTACATTCAACGGTGCTTCCATCACTACTGTCGCATCATCCTGATAACAATATCCAACACGAATAGTTCTATCGTGAATCTCAACATTACTTCCATCACCACAATAACTATTAACTTCATTTATTTCATCAACACGATCCATATCAACTAACATCATTTCCAATTTGATAACAACATCCAAGATAATACGTTCCACTAATGCAATTGTTATCATCATTCGCAAGTTTCTTGACCATTGGTTCTCTTCCGACACCAAATTTACTACAATTCCCTCTGGGCAAAGCTTCATCATTTCCAAAAGACATGGTAGGTATACTTTTAATCTTTATTTTATCCATTTGATTCGATTCATCACATTAACAATTCTGCCCTTTTTCTTCTCTTCATCAATACCATCATTTTCCATCAATTCACCTTTAACACACCTAACATCCACCAATTCACTTTCCCTTTGATTATTATTTCTTTTTGCCACACAACCTTCATCTATCACCTTTTCATCGACCGTAGGTTCTTCTGCAAACACGAACGTTGCCTCTTTACACTCAGATCAGATCGAACAACAACATTTACCATCTCTCCATCCAAATCTACACTTCGTTTTCGCAACTCATGGCATTCCAAGAATGACATCACAAGACAACCTATGCTTTATGTAAAGCTTTTGAACTACTTTAACACCATCAACGTCAACTTCTACACTAGAAACACATCCAATGACTTCACTGATACAACCTGTGATTGTTTCCTTACTCAGACGTTTCCAGGTAAGTCCTTTCTTTTTCGCATACTCAATGTTCATTTGATTCAAAGCTGAACTGACCCTAATCGATATTTTCGCTGATTGTCTATTTATCTTTGCCATTTTCATCACTGTTTCATTAATGTCCTCAATCTTCTTTATTCATTTAGGAGCCTTTACACCACGTTCTCGACACTCAAGCTTCTCTTTTTCACCACTATCCATATGATGTATATCAATCCACCCGTTATTCAAACGTTGATCACATTTTCGATTTTCCAGGGACGGACACAATCGAGCCAAGTGTCCTTTGCAACGACACACATAACACAAACGTGACCTACATTTTCGTTGTTTCCTCTGAATCATAAAATTAAGATGAAAAAACTTTTATAAAATTTTGTCTGATGGTTATCGTGAAAAGATTAAAAATCTGTTCTGTCTATCAGTAAATTAAATGCTATTGAATTTTTTTTAAAAATTTGAGCAAAATTTTCTCATTATCTTACTAAATTCGATAAGTTTATTTTATTTTAATTTTATAAATTCACCGA